TGGAGCATCTTGACTACAAATAACAACCATTGGCTGCTTCGACCAGGAGGCTTTGATTCTGATTGAATGTGGGCTGGCCTGGCTTTTGAGATACAAAGACACGCCCCTCAACTGGCTACCAAAATTAAATATTTATAAAAATGCCAAATCAAGTCCAGACAGCAAAAAAATGCTAGTTTAAAAAAAAGCCAATATCCTTCAATATTGCATTGTTCATTTAATTCACCACTTCAAAAGGTGTTCCAAGATCAGTACAATAGTCAGCTACATAGAATCTACTCCCCCAATCTCGATTTACTTAAAATTCCAAATCTTCTTCCAGAAGAACTCAAATAGGAAAGGACTAGAACTATAACAACATTGATGCGATTTATCAGCATTTAAATGCACACAGCAGCGAATTTCAAAATCTACAATCATGCTTCAATGAAATTTAAGTAACATTAAAGGTAAAAGTATATTATTAAACATTGCTAATGGGATAGAATAAACCTTGAAAAGAATAAAGTTAATTACTCAAAAATCAGATCCATGTTTCTTCTCTGCTACTCATTCATTACAAAAGTAATAAGGAAAAAATGTGAATTGCACAATATTACCCAATTGATTGACTCATTAGAGAACTGACAAGATGTAGAAAACACTGTTGGACAGAAAGGGTTCAACTATTTATCTTACACAGATGAATGGCACTGAAATGTTTAGAGAATCACAAGCATCTCAAATGTGTTTCAGGAACTCTATTTACTACCTTGTCACTCGCAATGCTCAAAAGTGAAGAAACAGGAAACAGATTTTTGTGACAAGATTTTAACATGAAAACATTTCTTCAACTTCCTGAAAATCATTTTTTTTTTTTTAAAACTCCCCTACAGTTTACATCAATCCTACCACTAAGATTTAAATAATGGTGAAATTTTCATTCAATATCCATTTGAACATTAGTAAAACTGTATTTGGAATGTTAGAGAGATGTTAGGTAGGTTACTGATAGCCCACCTTCTCAACCTTACTCCTTGTCTGACATGTGGTGACCTTTAGGTTAAGATCACCATCAGTCATCTCTCTCTAATGAGACAGCAGCCTTATGGTCTACTGGCAGTTTGGCAATTTTACTCCCATTCTCTAGTGTCCATATCACGATTTACCAAACACACAGTTAGGACGCCTTGCTTTACGTTTAAAATTTTAAGAAAATTAATGTCCTGTTTCTCCATTTCTTAGCACTGCAAGCAAAAGAGAGTAGATAGATTTCCTAAATCACAATTCTTATAATGTTAAGACTATCTCCTACACAGGATAAATGGGCACAACAGATATTTATGCAAATGCACCGACCTAGTGGGAAATGTTTATCAAGATGGCAGAAGGATTAATGCCGAATCTAATGTTGCTCAGAGTATTAACAAATGATTTTTAAAAAGTGGTAGAAACAAAACATTTACCATTTGTCCTGAAAAACAGGGATAAAGGTTTCACAAAATTAGGAGCACGTTGAAAAGGTGCAGGGAAATCTAGATAGTTGGAAATTGGGCTGAAAAATGACAAGTAAAATTCAGTGTTGACAAGTGCAAAATGACAACACTAAATAAACACTGACTGTCTAATTAAAGGGATACAGCACAAGAAAAATGGGATTTCAGAATATCTGTTAGCAAGAAAAGTCATCTGCCTGTATAATGGCCATCATCCATAAATAAAGTAAAACAGAAAAGTACTGTTCGAACAACTGATAACACACAAATTACTTAGTACATGACATTGAGCCTATATAGATCACTGCCTCTCCACCGTTGGGGGAATCTGGTTACCACATTACAGAAGGACTTCATTGTATTAGAAACCAATTAGTTATCAAGAGTAACTCACAGGTAGTAATCTTTTCAAAGCTTCATATATCTTAAGCTACTATTCCTGGTGTACACCAGCTGTCATTAGCAAGCGCAATCTCTGCAGCTGTCAAGGGAACTTGAGTGTATTGGTATGGCTAGATCAGGAAAACTCAAAAAGGATAAAGATTGATGTGAACTGAACTCAGTCTTTTTCTGCCTGACTTTCAGCAGGCTGCGATAGTTTGGCTATTGAGATATTGTATTATGATTCTCCTTACCAACTCACAAGTGCACTATATTTCCATTCACTCATTCATAAAACCAATTTTTGTAGTACATTTTATGAACTAAATTAAACATCCCTTCTAGCCCATTACCGTTTCTTTACGCCTTTCAATTCTTATTGGACCAAGCTGCAAGCAGTGTATAGACTGGTTTCTGTATCAAAGGCTACCTCTGAATAAGTATTAATACTGTAACCTACTGAGAACAACGCCACCCCCGCCATCGTATCCCCATAACCCACTTGAAACTATGGAAAGATAATATTAAATTAGCCCTTACAAACCATCTCTTGGGACCTGAATGGGTTCCCTCCGCTAGTATGCACTTTTTAATAATTAAATAGGGCAGCTATCTCCTTTAAGAAACTTACAATCAAAACAACACTTCCGTGAAACTTCATGAATGAATGTGTAAGAACTATCAAAGCTGGCAATAGTAAATGAAATTTCATGACCCAGCTGCAAGAGACTAGGTTAACATCCTCTATACTTCTATTTAGTACACATAATTTCTCACTTAATAAAGACAAAAGGACTCCTAATTATGCAAACTCAGATCACACAGACAGTCTAATTCCATCAAGAGTAGCAGCCAGCATTTAACAAGTGCTTAAACCATCTCCTGCTTCCCCAGGACAGATGCCACCCGACTGAAGTCAAAACGACACAGCAACGAGCAAGCAGCCTTTAAAGCAAAACTGGATATTAAAGATCATTCAAGTCTGGAATAAAAATGCTACTAACTTTAACCCGCACAGCGGAAAAGTTTCGCCAATAATGAATACCGGAAATTATTGCAAAAGACTTCATGTGAAAGCATTACACATTTTGTGTACTGAATACTCTTACAAAACTTCCAATATCTGTTTGAAGCAACTGTGCTGTACTATCAAACATTTTACTGTTTTCTTATAAATTCTACAGATGATGTGTTGTTGAGCTGAGTGATGTTTAACATTTCAATGCTTTGAGCTTAACAGAGTTCACTTTTACAACGTACATAGACTTGATTGCTTCAGTTGGGGGAAATTGGATTGTTCAGTCGCTTCTTTTAAAAAAAAGTCATTTCACGCAGATATCTATTCTGTTTAAAAACAACCTAAGTTTGCAAGTATGCACATTCACATTGTATGTAACATTACAGAGGCATATTCATATAGTTGATTAAACATCAAATTCAGATGAAAGAAAACTTACATATACCTCCTGTATATGAAATATGCATAATGAGCGGAATGTTTTATATATAAATCTGGAACTGGAGAATGTCTACAGCACAGGAGACGACAACTTGGTCCATTATGTCTATGCTGGCTTTCTGCAAACAGAAATTCAGCTATTCCCATTCCACTACCTTTTCCCATCTACTCTGTCTAGACCCCTTCTGATTTTCAGTATTTCTAACTATATATCCTCTCAAACTATCTTCTCAAAGAAGAACAACAATAGCAATAAATTTAAATGAAAAACATTACAGTATTTACAGGCCATTTAGATCAATGCATTCATACTAATGTTTATGCCCCACGATTCTTAACTAATCGTTCATCAAAATTTACTAGCATCTCTTTCCATTGCTTACTCCAGTTTTCCTTTTAATGAACCAATACTAGTTATTCCTTCTTTTTTGAAAGAGCATTAGATGCTCTGCCATTCATTGAGATCATTCTTGATCTGATAATCTGCAGTTCCATTTACCTGCCTTTCCCACATAATGCTCTATTCTCTTACTGATTAGAGATCTGTCTGAGCCTTGAGTCTCTATTACTCCCTGTAGTTAAAATATGCCACAGTCTCACCAGTCCAAGTAAAGAAAATTCTCAATTTCATACTAGATTTATTGGTGGCTATCTTATTTTCATTGCCATACAATTATGTTTAACTTATGAAACAGTTCCGTATTGTTAAAGGCTATCAGGTCATCCCTTAGCCTCCTCTCAGTAAAATGAGCCCCAGATTGTTTGGTCTTTCCTAACATACTTTATTTAGTTGTGGTCTCACAGTAGTGAAAACATTTTGTATCTTCAAACCAATTTATTTTTTTAAATATCTAAGTTTTATTAGTACTGTATTAGAGATTTGTTTTAATACAAAAGTAATTTAATACAAAACAAAGTAAGTCTGTGGATCTGCTGGCTGGGTAACAACTAGAAAAATAACAAAAGAGGCACTCATACAAACTCTGCAGCTTTTACTGCACTTTAATCCTTGCACGGAACTGGCCTCCCTCAAAAGATAAAGCCCCGTTGTGGACCAGAATGCTACTAAAACCCAACATTTAAAGCCACATTTCACAAGATCTGTCAAACAGGAAATTTACAGAGGCATGTTAAGCCAGCAGCTTTGGACAGATGAGTAAATAAATAGCCTATCAGAAACTACTGTACAGCAACACCAATGCCTTCCTTTAAAATAAAAATAAATATTAAGGCTCAATTCCCTTCGCATATTTATTTATACATTATACATTAGCTTAAGAAATCGACATGAAGAGAACATTGCACCACACCCTGCAACTGATATTTTAAAGCTAGCAGCTCATTGCCGGCTGTCAGTCTAAGCCCTGAACTACAGTTCAGGGAACCGGAAGTCCACCGCGGATCCTGATGGACAGCGCCGGCAGCCAATCAGGAGAGGGAACGAAGGCCGGAGACCCAATCAGCGGCACGAGGGCGGGGACCACGGGGAGGGATGGACGATTGGAGGCGGCGGCTAGTCCTTCCCCCAGGGGCCGGCGTCAGTTTATTTTGCTTCAAACTGCTCGCACCTTCTCCGGAGCTGGAAGGAAAACATTCGAACGCGGCCCTTTCCAGATGGCAGGGGTGGAGGGAATAGAAGTAAGAATGAAAACGAAAAAGACGGACACCGGCGAAAACAAACTCACTTTCCCCGACGACCGCTTTCAGCCCCATCGGCGCCATCTTAGTCTGTCCGCCTCTCCCTCAGGAAACACGTCACTTTGCTTTATGACATCACGGATCCTACCCCGATGGGCACATCATCTTCCAATCGCCCTTTGGCGTCACTGATTCTTGCTGTTGTGTACGCCATACGTAACGACTGTGTAGTGACGTCACCCATTCGCACATGTATGGCGTCCCCAGCCCTCCTATTAGGTTTCAATGTGATGGGTTATGGTCCATTCCCATCTCATTCTTCAATGATCCCCGGGCCCTTAATCCTCCCAAAACATAACATTTAAAAAAAGGAAGAGGAGCAGGCCGTTTCAGCCCCTTGAGCCTAGTCCATCATTTGGTATGATCATGGCTGATCTGACACTCTTCACATCTTCACTTTTCAACCCTTACCCCATTATCCATGATTGACTGACTGATCCAAGAATCTGCCTGTCAGTCTGCATGCAGCAGGGGAATATTTGGGTGCTTGCTGCCTGTCATTGGGCTTGTGCCGTACATTCAAATAATGAGTCAGAATACAACACAATTTGGACCCTCAAGCCTGCTCCACCATTCAATTAGATCACGGCTGATCTGATTATGCAATCTTACCACCTTCCCCTCCCCCCCCAGCATGCCGTGATCACCTTTCATCCCCTTGCTATCAAGAATCTCTTCTTAACGATACTCCCACTGGCTGGTAGTCCAGAGGCCAAGGTTCTAGGGGCATGAGTCTCAAAAACCAACAATGACAGCTGGTGAACTTCAAAATGTCTAAAGCTAGCATTTCAGAATGTCAGAAAAACCCAGGAAATCTCTCATCCTTACTTGGCCTGATCTACCTATGATTCCAGCAACATGTTGATTGCTAAACGTCCTCTGAAATGGCTTAGCAAGCCACTCAACTGTAACAGTCCTTATCAGATACCAGCTGGACTGCAACATGTTTGACTACCATCTTCTCAAGGGATGGTGAACAAATGCTGCCCTTGTCAGTGACTCCTTGGTAAAATAAGAAAAACAATTTGCATTTGGGTCACTTGAAAAAAAGTGTAGGCACCAATTTAAACACAGTAAGATGCAACAAGCACAGCCACATGCTTTCCTATCTCTCCAAACTACCCCAGCACGGATGATGGAGTATAAAAGCAGGCATGTTTGCTGGAACTACACAATCTGTTGGTGAAACCACATGTATAGTACTGTGTATAGTTTTGGTGTTCTCATTTAAGGATGCAAAGACTTGCCTTAGAAGCATGTCAGAGAAGGTCCACTATGTTGATTCCTGGGTTGAATTAGTTATCTTAAAAGGAAACTGCAGGGCAGTTAGCTTAACATTTATCATAGGGAAACTGCTAGAATCTATTGTGAAGGAAGTAAAAGCAGAGCACTCAGAAAATCTCAATGCAATCAAGCAAAGTTAACATGGTTTTCTGAAAGGGAAATTGTGCCTGACTAATTTATTGTAGTTCTTTGAGGAAGGAACAAACAAAGTCGATAAAGGAAAACCTGTGGATAAGGTATACATTTATTTCCACAAGGCATTTGTCAAGGTACCATGCCAAATGTTACCATACAAGATACGAGTTAATCTTGGGTCAACAAAATATAAAGAATGGTGTGTCACGGGGATCACTGCTGGGGCCTTAATTATTTACAATTTTGTTCAACAAATCTCCATCTGTCCACCAGTAGGCACCAACTCTTGATGGTAATGCAGAAGTAAAATAATTTGGTAAATTTGAGAAAATAGATTTGGTCACACTGGTGCTGGCACACAATGATCTTGTAAATGGAGCAATTCTACTTAAATATTACTTAAGTCCTGTTGCACACATACACAGAGTTAGGTTTACTAACTCTAGCTGGACATATTCCTGATTGTATCAATGCTGCTGAGGTGGAGATGGTTGGGAGATTCGGGTTCCTAAGTAAATATCACTAACAATCTCTCCTGGTCCATTCACATTGATCCTACTGTCAAAAGAGCACGCCAATGCCTCTGCTTGCTCAGAAGGCTAAGGAAATTCGGCATGTCCATGATGACTCTTACCAATTTTTATTGATGCACCATAGAAAGCATCCAGATACACCACAGCTTGGTATGGCAACTGCTATGCCCAAGACCACAAGAAATTAGAGAGTCGTGAATGCAGCCCAGTCCATCATGAAAACCAGCCTTCCTTCCATTGACTCCATCTATACTTCCTGCTGCCCCAGGAAAGCAGCCAACATAATCAAAGACCCCTCCCAATCTGGTTATACTCTCTTCCACCGTCTTCTGTTGGGCAGAAGACATAACCAACAGATTTAAGAACAGCTTCTTCCCCACTGTTATCAGACTTATGAACAAACCTCTCATATATTAGAGCTGATCTTTCTCTGCACCTTCTCTGTAGCTGTAACACTATATTCTGCATTCTGGTCTATTACTCTGATGTACATTTGTACGGTATTATTTGCCTGTATATTACGTAAAACATTACTTTTCATTGTATCTTAGTACTGGACAATAATAAATCAAATCAAAAGGTACATCCCACAACTTTCTGCCAGCAAAGCAGATAGAGGGGCAAGCAAAACACCTGAATTTTGTTGAAATGCCCCTTTGATTGTAGCTCCTGTGTTTAGCTATTTCATTCCTAGAGATTTAGGGAGGATTGGCAATCTAGAAATAGTTTTGCCACTCACAAGAATCACTGTGGCACAGAAAGACACCACTTCCCAGTTAGCCCATTGGCTCTATCCCTGTAGCCCTGCAATTATATTTCCCTCAAGTGTCCATCCAACTTCCTCTTGAAATCATTCATCGTCTCCTCTTCCATCATCCATATGTGGAGTAAGCAACGTACCCACCAAGCTGTGTGGTTGACTGGGTGTGTAGCCACTCCAAGTGAACACCAGTAACAGCATTGACTTCCAGTTCCAGAAACTGCTGCTCTGCAGGCATCTCAGAAATCTGCTCGGAACATAAGAAATTAGTGGGAATACTGGGACTGAGTTCCAGGTCATTACCATTTACCGCATAAAAAATGGTCCTTCATATTTTTTGCACGTGGCACCTTTTTTTATATTTTCCCTTTTTATTTTAGAAAGGAATTCTTAAGTGGCCTTGGTGGGATTTGAATTTACATCCATCTGGATCATTATTCCAGGCTTCAGGCTTACTGGATTGGCAACACAGCTGCTACCCCCATCATTGGAGGTGGGGTCTTTGCTTAAGCCATTCACAAGAGCTGACACTGAGCCTTAGTAAAGATCTTCCAAATTCTCCATAAGGATTAACAATCCCTGCTTCAATTAATTGGTCCCTGTAAGCTATGTGGTCCATGTTTGAAATTCTGATGAAGTCTTTTATTATTTCAGGAGACAATGAATTTTATAGCAATTAGATAGGTAGTGCACATTGCAAAGCTAGCCTGTACAAATCATGTTAGATTGTTTGAGCACCATCTAGTTTTATTGTACAACTTCCACAAATAATACCATTTGGTAGCCGGCTAAAATGATTGGAACCATTCATTCAGAGAGAAAGTGAGAAAAATCAATGTATAAAGTGTGTCCACCACTCCTTTTGCCTCAATCTGCCTGGCGCAGTCAAACATGAAAGATAGCAGTATTATCTTTCAATCACATCTAAAGGAAGCACAAGGGACAAAAGACTCTACAACAAATTGGAATAATTGTTTTTAAAATGTGCTCCACTCACTGTATTAGAGACATGGTGTCATAGAGTCATATAGCATGAAAACAGACCCTTTGGTCCAACCAGTCCATGCCAACTATAATCCCAAATTAAACTAGTCCCAACTGTCTGTGCTTGGCCTACATCCCTCCAAACATTTCTTATTCAAGTACTAATCTAAATGTCTCTTAAATGTAACTGTACTCACATTCACCACTTCCTCTGGAAGTTCATTCACACATGAACCACTCACTGTGTAAAAACAATTGCCTATCATGTCCTTTTTAAATCTATCTCATCTCACCTTAAAATATGCCCCCTAATCTTGAACTCCCCCACCCTAGGGAAAAGACACCTGTCATTCACCTTATCTATGCCCCTCATGATTTTACAAACCTCTATAAGGTCACTCATCAACCTCCTACGCTCCAATGCAAAAGCGCTAATCTATCCAGCCTCTCCTTATAACTCAAACCCTCCATTTCTGGCAACATCCTGGTAAATCTTTTCTGAACCCTGTCCAGTTTAATAGTATCCTTCCTGTAACAGGGTGACCAGAACTGGACACAGTACTCTAGAAAAAGTCTCATTGATGCCCTGTACAACCTTAACAAAATGTCCACTATTCTTCACTTCCTTTCTTCTCCAGAAAGATCTTTTGTGACGCAACCAATGATGACTTGCTGGGTAGTAGTCTGAGCTTTGAATCAAGAGGTATGCGTTAACTTCAGAGACTTGAGCGTAAAATCTAGGTCTGTTTTATGGGCTGGAAAGTGTCTGGGGACATCCTGAGGTCAGAACGTAAAAACTAGGAGCAACAGCAGGTAGTTCAGCCCCTTGAGCCTATTGTACCGTTTGACACAATAATGGCTGATATCATATCAGACTCAACTGTATTTTCCACAATAACCCCTTACTTGCATCACCAGCTTCAAAATCTCTCCACCCCCAATCTGTCCATCTTCCTACTCCCCTATCCGCTTCACCCTTCCCACTGATCAACCACAATAATCCCCTACCTGCATCCACCTATCTCTATCCCACCTAACCTTGCCCCAGCCCCTCCCCCTCCCCAGTTCTGAAGAAGGATTTCGGGCCCAAAACATTGACTTCCCTGCTCCTCAGATGCTGCCTGATCTGCTGTGCTTTTCCAGCTCCACATTTATTGACTCTAGCTTCTGGCATCTGCAGTCTTTGCTGTCTCCATTTTCCTGCCCACTCTCCATAACCCTTCAATTGTTGCAAATTAAAAATCTGTCTGGCAGGAGCTCCGTAATACAAAATTCTTTCTCACTGACAACTTCGATGGTATTCTCTCATAGCACATTATGTAGATTAATTACTATTTTGGCCAAAAAAAAGTGCTTGACAAAAGGGATAAGATCTCTCTTTCACTCCTAAAGTTTTCTTTTCATAACCAATACTA